TGATTGCTGAGTAAAAAAAGATGTACTACATCTTTTTAATCCAGTCACTCATTTTTTGGCATTTGGGCTGTTTCCATGTAAGACAGGTATCTTTTAGGATCTGGCCCAGGTGCATATCTCCCTAAGTCTCCTGCAAGGATAAGGTTGTCTCTTTTGTGTCCTCATCGCTCTCCCTGTAGCAGCTTTTATCCTCAGCATTGCCATTATCTTCTTCTGGAAGTGTCCTGGTAGGTCTCATCAGTCCCTATTCCTAGCTTGCAGCACACACTGGGCCTTTACTAGAGGGTGAATACATTCACTCCAGAAATATTTCCTACCTTGTAATGTCTCACAATGCAGATGACTAAGGGGAAATTAATTTAACTAGCAACTTCATGCTGCTATCTTTTCAAAATAAAGTGTTAAATGCACTCTAGGTGTTTAAGAACTCTTTTTTGCATGGTCTTCTTACTCCAAGTGAAGGCCATGGACCAGCAAACATCCAGATCTCCCCTAACTATTAACTCAAGAGTCTGCATTTTACCACCTCCTACTGCCTTCCAAGCACACTCAGGTTTCAGGTTTCAGAAGTCTTCCTCTATATAAACCTCCCTCCCTCCTGGTTGTGGAGTGGTGGAACCACTGGGACAATTGCATGCACCTGGAGAATTCTGCAAGCCCAAAAGAACAGAAAGGAAGTGGTTAAATCATATGCCTGCCTCTCCTTTACTTCCTGTGTTGAATAGGATGCTTCACTCTGAAGGTGAAAGGAACCGTGGGTGCATGCCAGGGGCGTGGGAACAGGTGAGAGTGGGTGGAGGGGTGCTGGGCAGACAAATGAAGAGCCTCATTCTTTCTTCCACTCAGACAGGTCCACTGTTCTGAGGACCATCTTCTTCCCCGGGCAGCTGAGAGTGAGACCCTTTGGCAAATCTCCACCCAACCCTGCAGAGGGAGGGTCATATCAGAGAGACTTAGAACAGGTACAAGAATATGAAGGACCAAATTGTATTCTCTTGGTGACTCTTGTTGCTAGGGAGAAGTCAGCTGGAGGACGAAGACCTACACAGCTGGAGCCCTGTGGTTGGTTTCTGGGTGCAAATTCTTGTTTCCTCTGGGGCAAGCTGATCCCCTCCTCCACCCACAGGTGACTTACGTTAATAGGCAAGATCTTAGCTTATTCAGAGGTGGTAGGTGGGAAGGTCAGTGAGTTCCAGGGGCTGTAACAAGTGTGGCTGTGCCTTCAGGAAGCCCGTGTCATTTCTGGGAAGACAAGGCTAACCCACAGGTACGAGATGGAAAGTGGAAAGCCACAGATTCACAGAAAATGCCTCGGCCAAGGTCTGTGAGGCAGTCTGTAAGGTGGCAGCATGGCCAGGGTCTCAGGAGTCCCAGGCTGGCTGGGAAAGACCAACAGCTTGCTGGGAGAACAGGCCTTCCACTCCTGGGAGGGGCTACTGTCATGGGAAATGGGGCCACTGCCTTGGGGCATCCCTGGGGCCTTGGGGTTGTCAAGGGACCTTCTGACCTGAGAAGGAAGGGAAGACCTGGCTCCTCAGACAGTTGTCTGAGAGTAGCTGATTGCAGCAAGGGCTGGGAGCCCTTGGAAGGCCCCCGGAAGAGCTCCAGGGGGGACAGGAGGCTCCTGAGCATGATGAATGGCTTTCACTGTGCTGCAGTCCATGCCTGCCTGGAGGGAAATGACTTAGAACAGGTACAGGAATTTGAACTGCCAAACTCATTTGCCGGGTCTCTTGTTGCTGGTGTGAAATCAGCTGTGGGGGCTGTTCTAGACTGTTGAGCCAGGCACCTGCCCACACACCCTGAGACACAGATGGATCTGAGGAGCTGGAGGGACTGTGCAGCTCCTCACGCTGACCTTCACAATTTTGGCCACCCTCTACTCTACCCCTGACCTCATCAATCTTGCTTCTTCTTCTTCTTCTTTTTAAAGATTTATTTATGTACACTTACAGAACTGGGGTACAGACCAGAGGTGTGGTGGTGAGAGGATTCACCAGAGACAGAGTGGGGAGCAGAACAGTCAGATCTCCTGAGATACACTGCTGAGGGGAGCAGCGGGAGGCCCAGGAGAGGTCTGCCGCGCCATGTGGGCCACCTCCCTGGGGTATCGAACTCCTGCTGCAGTGGCTTCAGAGATCTTCATCATGTGGTGCTTTAACCTGTTGCGCCACCAGGGAGAGCCCTGATATTGCTTCTTATTTCTCCCCAGCCCCTCTCTCTCCAGACCCTAGCCCAGCCAGACTGGCTCCCTTAGATTGTTCCCAGGGACCCTGAGGGCTGCCCTCTCTCTGATTCTCTCCTGCCCAGGGCAGGCTTCACCCCACACCTGCTTCCTCTTATGCATCCTGCTTTCCCCTGGGAGTCTGGAGACCTCTCACAGTAAGGGGCAGCCTGCTTCACCTGCAGGTAGCAAAGGACACTGGTAAAACACTCCAACTTGCTCTTTGAAGTGAGAGGGAGGCGGTCAGGAGATGTGTCTGGGACCAGTGGCCATATGCTCTTCCCCAGAGAAGGTGTCCTCCAGCTGCAGTCCTGGTCCAGGGGAGAGGAGAGAACAGGCCCTAAGATGGGCCAGTCAGTGATGGGGGCTCTCCGGGTTGGGGCTGGGGCAGGAATGGCAGAAAGGTCCTCTGACCTCTTCCTGAAGGGCCTGTCTACACTCTGAAAACCTGCTGTGATGACGCCTGGGGAGAGAGACACAATACAGTATCCAATGTCAGCTTCTGCCACTAAAGGCGAGACAATAGGTGGGGAGACCACTAAAAAGGGGTTCACTGATGTTCCACATGCTGGAATTGCTTTGCCTGACATGGTGAATGGATGCAAGGAATTGTTGTTCCCCTCTTCGTTGTTGCATACAAGGGCACGTTTTTTGCCCCAGGATGTCACTGACAGTCATTTGACACAGCCAATTGCTAGCTGGCGCCTGGCCCTGCCTGGGCTCTGGGGACACAGCAGTGCACTAGCACGACCCACCCCTCCAGGCATCTGCTGTCTCGAGAGCTGCAGGCAGTGACGTGCACCCTGGATAGGTGTCCCCATGCTACACACGGAGCCACACATTATTAACAATTTTTTCTTCCTAGATTGTGTAACACTGAGATAAACACAAACTCTGTTAGGAAATCACATTTTAAATATAGGTACAGGAATGTAATTCTAAATCTGTCAGTGTCTCATTTATCAAAGACAAAAATGATTGGGATCATTCTCCAGATACAGCTTTGAGTTTTGTTTTGCCATTTAAAATTCCATTGTGAACATTTTCCCTGCTTAGAAAGCTTTTATATTTATTCCGGCTTTCCTCTTCAAAAGCAGGCCTTCAATGGGACCAGTGCTTACATGCTACATAAAAACAAGGTGAGTATTTACTCAGAGATTTTTAAAATTTCAATCTTTAGCTCATTCACGTGCTCATTCATTCATTCATTCATTCAGTATCAGTTTCTTGGGTATCTGCTCCTGGGTTCAGATGTGAGTGCTGCCTAAGAAATTTGGTGGTGAACAGGAGACAAATTTCTTCCTCACAGTGCTTACCCAAAGCAGAGATCAGACTCCTTGAGGGGACACAGGGTTTCCCACCCTGCCTTTATCCTCTTTCTATTTCTTTCTTGGCCCTAAATAGCCTGACTCTGGTTCTTTCCATCATTTATACCTCAACTAAGCATTTCCTCTTTTCTACTTTGTTCAAAGGCCAAAAACTATGCTCTCTCCATCTTTCTAGTTGCAAGATCAAGGGAGAGAATTGTTTAGTGATGAACATTTTAGAAGATACCGTCTAAAGGGGAGTGGCCCCAGGTACTTCCTTGGCGGGTGGGGGGGGTCTCCTTTGGTATCACGAATGCCTAGCCACCTGACCCTGGCGAAATGGATCAGCAATGGATGTTGCACTAAAGGGTAGCTATTCGAGGTCTGTCCAGGGGCCTACCAGGTGGCCTGGCACTAGTTTAGAGCTAGCTAGAGGATGCTGGGATGTGAGGGTGTGAGGTAGGGATAGGGATAAGGAAGTGAGGATGCATCCCTATTAACTAGCACAGTTAATTTCACCCTTTATACAGGAAGTAAAAGTGAGAGAGAGGGAATGCCAAAGGAGGCCTAAAGTTTATGGGCTTATCAAGAGAAGGCAGTACACAGACGGTAGTAGGTAGAAGCCACCAGCAGCCACGAAGGGCTGTGAGTTAGGAGTGGACGGTAGCCTGCACCAGCAGCAACGGGAGCAGAAACAGGGTCAATTGAGCAAGCAAAATTATGGCACAGATATAACCACAGCACTCCTGCTCTGCTTCTCAACCTGTTGTTACCGCCACGAGAGCTGAAGTTAATCCATAAACCATCCCCTTTCTGTTAGGTCTATCTCTACCTCTGGCCCTGCTCTCCTCACTTCTGAGTTTGATGATAGACCTCCATCCTCTAAGGGTCACTTTGCTCTGTTTTCTTTTCATTTTCCTAAAAGATCTAAACTAGCAAATAATAATAATAATAAATCATCTCCATTCAAGGCATGGCTCACCCAGTCCCAGAGTCAATGCTTAGAAAGCTCCCAGTCCAGTGGCTGGATTCTGGGTCTCCAGCCTTTGTTGTCTGACCTCCACAGACCCAATGGACGTGCCAACTGTCTCAGTTGTGAGAGATGATCACACCCTGAATGCACCGGACAGACAGCACTCGGAGAAAAAGAGTAGGCCTGCTGGTGCTTCCTCCTGAGCACGGTGAGGTAGTTACTACTGATTCAAAGGTGTCATGAAATTTGAGAAAGGGTACACTGGACATAGTGGGACATGACCTTTGATGAGTTTCCTGGGACATTTTCAGTTGTAAAATGGGGATAATAGATCACCTGGGAGTTGTGTCAAGAAGCTATCCCATTTCTCACATCAGAGAACATTTTCAACCTTCCTTAGCTGTGTGCTGTGATGATCTGAAGATGATTCCAGCACCTTCTATACACCAGGCCAAGCTGCCTTCACTCAACAGCAAGAAGGTTAGAACAGATCTACCTTGCCAGCCAGGCTTGCAAACCGGCTTCACGTCCACCTGCACCAGTGTGTCCTGCGCAGCGGGCTTCTGTCCACAGTCATAGGCTGTCACCAGGATCTCATACTGGCGCTGTTTGTCATAGCTCAGCTTCTCAGTGTTCCGGATGTTGCCTGGGTGCACAGAACATGCAAAATCAATCATTTCAGATCATGTTAACCACTGGTATCCCTTCAATGTGATGCTCTCTGCTCCACCAACTTTCACCAGAGGAAATGATTTTTAGGCTTTGGTAGCAGACTCCTAGGAGCCACAAGCTGGGGACCCCCGAGCAGGGGGCAGGGGAGCTTGAACACAGATCCTGAATCCAACAGGTGTGTGTTTATAAGTAACGGGTGTCAGAAAAAACCCTGTAAGTTGTGCCCAAGTGACTGTACGTCCGATGGAGGACACAAGGAACTCATCTGCCATGGAAACTCTGGGAAAAAGATGGAACTCTGGAAAAAAGATGGAATTCAGGAAAGTCTGAACACATTTTTTAACATCTGGGCTCATTGCCAGAAATGTTTGCTGCCTCTTCTCACATTATTTTGTTACCAAGTAGGAAGTAAAATCAATAAGAAAATGTGTGACCTCCCTTCCAGAAGCTACACAGAATAACAGATTACTTGCCCTGATGACAAAGATTTTTTTTTTCTCCAAGAGACCAAGCAATTTTTCCAAGCTATTTGTGTACTTTAGTTCCTAATGGCTTGATGCTGTGTTTCAGAAATAAATATTTGTAATTAATGTGCAAAATTTTAATTCAATACTCTTGCTGGAAATATAATTTTGACTCTCAGAAACTAATAAAGGCTGAGTGCATTTATTACTTTTTAAGTTTTTGATTCCAGGAGATTAAAGTCTTCCTTTACTGAGGATAATTTCATTCTTGTTTTTCTTTTTTAGGGGGAAAAAAAACTGAAATGAAGAGAACACGCTTTAAGAGACAAACTACCAAACAAATAAGCAGACTGGACTAGCTTCTGTATTTCATCAAAGTGAAGGGAAAACTGTTAATGAGATTTCTTCCATTCAACAGTTGTAAAATTGTTTATATGAATTGACAAGACACGGACTAAGTCAAGAAACTTTGGAAAATTAGAAAAATCACATATTTTGAAGCTATAAAAATGGGATTCTCCTTGTCAACCAAACAGTAAAACAGGATGCAGTAGTAAGCTGTGAGCTGAGGTTGCACTTGTGGGTCTCTGTAGTGGACGGCAAGGGTCCCTGTGGCCAGGAGGGGGCGTGAATTTGCCCAGGATATTGGACCGAGAACTGGAATGATTTATTCTACTTTCTCTCTGGTTATAAAAATGTGCCTGCAGCTACTGATCTGAGGTAGAATTCAGTCACGAAAAGCCAGTCAGAAATCTCTGAATAAAACTGCGTTTGAGTTTGATATATTTCTGGCTGGGGACTGCTGTTCAGAATACTTTTCATTTCCCCCCAAATATTTGTTTCACCTTCATCTTGGAGTCACACAAGCCTGGAACACGCGGTGTTGACCTGTACCATTCCCTGTGGGATGGGGCTCACACACCAGTTGTGGGTGCAGGTGACACCAGGGAGGGCTTCTGTTGGGTGGAAGCCCTCCACCAAAACTGCAGTATCATCAAAGGGAATCTTGAGGAAAAAGTTTAACTTTCTTTATCTTCCAAGTTAAATGGCCCTCCAACGATACACTTCTTAGAGGAGGAAGTCTCGGGGTTTACAATCCTGTGACATTAAGTAGACCAAACACTATTGATTGTGCTAGAAAAATAAACACAAGCCAGCAATCCTTGGCTCAATTTGTTGCAGCTTCACTTCCGTAACAAGTCTTAATGAAACTGTCTGAGAAACGAATTTACTCTCTCTGGCGCCACAGACTTCATGCATGTGAGAACGGGCTTCAGCGCACAGAATTTGAAGCAGTAGGTCCCACAGGCGCATATGACTATCATACTCCATTGTGGCGAGGAGGACTGTGTTTGCATAAGACACACATTTTCAAAATATTGAAAGGTCACGAAAAGTAGTTCATTTCGCTTCTGTTACAATTGTATTTCCCTTAGCGCACCCATGTTGGAATGCTTTTTCCTACCAGGGCTTTCTCAGAAGGGCCGAGTCCACAGTTAAGTTAGGTGAGTCATGGTCCCAAGATCTATCTCTCTGGTCTAAAGAAACTTGGGAAGCCCACTCTCAACAAACAATCAGAGCCTATCTGGTAGTCTCAACAAGCAATCAGTGCCTACCTGGCTCAGTGCCTACCTGACAGGTTCGTGAAAGTGCTATGTGAGGCCTCAGGTATGGTGAGGAGTATGGAGTCAAGCTCACTGGCCTGTCCCCTCCTTCTGATGATCTTCAAATCATTATAAGCCTCTGGAAGCTATTTGGCCAATAGCTTTGAAACTGCAAGTATCTTTTGGGCATGCATTTCCACAGCTAAATATATTCTAGAAAAATCTAGGTGCAAATATGCTGAAGCATTACTCGTTACATTTGAAACAGTAAAGAAATGGAGTGGTTGACAGGAAGGGAAGCACTAAGGATGAATCTAGCCATTCAATGACAAGTTGTTCACGACTAAAAGTGATTAAAGTGATTATTGAGGTTTTTTTTTTAAGATGGGAAAAATCCATATAATAGAACAATAAATAAAAAAAGCGAAGATAAGGAAAGTGAGAGAAGTGTGGCCTTATTTTTGTTTCAAGACATCAGAAAAATTATCAGAAAAAAATGTTAGAATGTCAGTAGTGGTAATGTTTGGTGTGATTATAGATGACTTAGTTCCTTTTCTAAGCTTTCCAAATTTCTCACAAAAGGCATACACCAAATCAGAGTTACCTCTTCGTAATTTTAAACTGGGGATTCATGGGGAGTGAATAACCTGCAAAACCCCAATCACCTGGGTAAATATCTAGTATCAGGCACCATGCACAGAGCACCCTCACATGCCAGGGGTCCTGCAAACCAAACACGTCTCTATGCTCTCCATCACACCTGTGGTCTCACACCACACTTTCACTAATCTACTAGGTAGGCTCTGATTGTTGAGAATGAGCTTCCCAGGTTCCGCCTGACCAGAAAGATAGATCCCCTGCCTCTCCTTGGGACCTCACAACCCCACAAGTAGTTTGGGATTGCCACTGCCAGGGTTTCACAGGGGAGGGATTCTTGGGGAGGGCGATCAAGGACCTCCTATTGGATGAGGTTGAGTATTGAGTTAAGACAGGCAGGATGGACACAAAATGTTTTCTAGCCTCCCTGATGTCCTGATTCCCCATTTTTCCTCCAAAGAAAGCCTGGAGGGTTGAAGTATGCAGGAGTCATTACCCGACACCACAGGATTTTAAGGAGCAGGCCCCTTACTCAGCAGGGCATTTCTTATGTGCATGCAGAAAGCTTCTTCAAGGAGCCAGGAAGGTCGCTGGGAGAAGTGATGGAGAAGGGCCAAGTGGAAGTCTCATTAGACGGGAGCCAGTTCTTGCGTGCCCAGGGCCCTGCCTTCATTACTTGGAGAACTGCTTCTGTAAACCTCGCTATCGGAGGCCTCCTCTCCCAGGGAGTGCCCACTCTCCTCTACATCTTATGTTGTAAACCAACGTCAGAGGCAGAGGCCTGGCAAAGGACCATCTCTCACTTTTAATGAGACAGCTAGGGAAATAAATTGGCATATGTTCGTGAAATGGCTCATCAGGGTGAGTAATTATCTCCATGACGGGGGCAGTTTACCCTCCATGAAAGAATCTGCATCTCATCTCTACAGGGTGGTGACACTCCAGAATGAAGACAGGAGGTCAAGTGGCGCATGGCCACGCATCACCGTTACCTCCACTTGTCTAGTCTTGCTCTCTACCAAGGACTTGTCACTCCCTAAATTCCAAAGCTTTCACGAACATAGATGATAGTACATAGCTGGTTGCCGGGGGACAAAAACCCAGGGGAGAAAAAGGAATATAAAATAGTTGTTATAGAGTAGTGTGCTTGTGTGGGGGGTGTGTGCCCACATGTGTGTAGTGTGCATGCTAGTGTTGTGTGTGGTGCATGTATATGTGTGTGTTGTGTGTATATGTATATGGTGTGTGCTTGTGGTGTGTGCTGTGTGTGTGATGTGCATGTGCGTGGTGTGCACACACAAGTGTATATGTGGTGTGTAGTGTGTGTATGCATGCCATGCATGATGTGTATATTTGGTTGTGTATATGTGTGTGCTGTGTGTATGTGTGCATGCATGTTTGTTGTTATAGATGTGGTGTGGGCGGTATGTATATGTGTGTGGTATGTGTATGTGTGATGCATGCACACATGTGTTGTATGTGGTGCGTGTGTGTGGTATGTGTGGTGTGTGGGAGGGTGGGGAAAGGCCAGCCATTTCACAAGGCCTTCAGGGAAAGCTGTCAGAGAACAATTCCAACAGGTTCTACTAATTAAAATCAGCTTCCTCTTGGTCCTCACCAAACTTAATGAAAGCCCCGTATTTTCTCCTTTACTCTGTGCACTCATCCATGTCTGCACAATCCGCACTGAGAAATGCCCAGGTGTGTAATTGTCATTTCTACTTGTTCTACCATTTTATAAGAAATGCTGCCTCATTACAGTTTTTCTGTTTTATGAATGTTGGTTTCATCTTGTATGACAGATCACAAGCTACTGGAGGTCACGGTGAGGCTTTCACCTCCTCCCCCGGGAGGTTTGCTGCAGCTCTCGGGGTGTTGATGGCTGTATCAAAGAGACAAGTCTCTCCCTGGTCTCAACACTGGAAAACACCGTGCTTCTCTGGAAGACTGGCAAGGAAGAGATGGTATTTCCCTCTCTGCAGTTGGTCTGGGGCTAATCATTTCCTCACCCTGGTTTGCAGCATGCTTTGTGAACCTTCACCCTTGATGCTATCTGATGTTCTTTTTTACTTTGAATTTTCTCTCTATTAATGGTAAGCTCCATGTGGTTAGGCCCATGTCTGTTTGAAATAAATTCTATCTCCAGGTCCAGTGCCCAATACCATGCCTGGCATAAAACAAATGTTTACAGACTGGATAAACTTCAGGGTTTGCAACTTCTGTGTCTTTATGCAGTACTAAATCCTATTCTCAACAACATGGGGATTATATCCCCATAATCACATGCTGGTATTGCTAATTCCACAATATTCTTGATGATTACTCCTCATTTGATTAGTATCAGGATGTTGAAAATCACTGTCAATGGGGGCTGAGGAGATGGGGTCTCTGGCTATGGAGTTTACACTATTGTGACATTTTAATTAATGGTGATCGGGCAATATCCACATGACATTACAGAACTGTTTTCAGCTCAGTTCAGGTTAGGCTTGGGGTAAGCTGGGAGGATTCTTTCATGTTTCATTCTCATTAGGGTAGAAATTCTCAAAGGGCATCGACAAAAGCTTTAATGAATCTAAGCTTAGAAGTTGTTTCAAAACCTCTGTCAGCATGCTTTTGGGAAGAAGGCAGATTGTTGTGATGGGAAGTGATGTTATAACTTGTTGAATAGGAAAGGGACCCAGGTATGCCCGAGTGGGGAGCATGGCTCACATCTGACGACAACCAGAAACCAGACTCTAGCAGTATCCAGACACATGACACTGGCGTTCTAAAGACCTTATGTCCTGAGCAGGTTTCTGAGGTGTTTGGGGGGTGTTTTAGGCCTGCTAGGTTCCTACTCATGTTAAGATCATCCCCGTTAGTGCAGGACTGAGTTCTGGTTACAGAGCCTAGATCCAGAAGGCGGGGATCTAGTTCATTCAGAGCTCTCGCTTCTGAGTGGGGTGGTGGAGTTGTTCCCCGGGGTCTCACTGCACGATCCCTGCAGGACACTCACCATTTCTATCGATGGCAAAAGGCACGTCAGTGGTGACGATCTCGTAGTTGCAGATCTGGCTGTACTGGGGGGAGCAGTCCTCATCGATGGCCTCCACCTGCAGGATGCTGTCATAGATCTTGCCTTCGGTCACCACAGCCTTATAGGCAGGCTCTTTGAAGGTGGGTGCAAACTCATTGATGTCCTTCACCTGGATATGAACCACAGCCCTGGGGGCATACACCAAAAAGAAGAGGAAGTGGTCAAAGAGAATTAAGTCATTCCCTAGAGCTCCATGGGCAATGTCCGGCACCCAAGGTCAAGTGAGTGGAGAAAACCCACGTCGGTTGGTCGGGGAACTTGTCATGGCAGGGTTCCATTCTCCCTCTCGCTGGGGAGCCCTCTACCAGTCTACACCCTTATCGTCTAAGATGAAGCCACTGCAGAGTTCTTTGGCTTTCCTTGTCACCTTCCCTATTCCTTGCTTTAGTCACCAAAGTCAGGAAGTGGTCATGCTTATTGCATGTTAGGCCCCAAGCCAAACTCCATCAGGGAGAGAATTACAACTCAAAAAAGTGTTCTGACAGGGAGAGAAGGACCTGGATGGGCAGAAACCCAGGAGAAAGGTAGCAGAGATGGACTCAGGGAGGACTTCCCAGAAAACATGACACGTGAACTCAGCCCTGACAGTAGAACAGGCATGTCCTCAAGTGAGGCAGGAAGAGGCTATTCTAGGTGTAGAGAGGGGCCTGGCTGATACCTTCAGGCATCAGCTGGAGGAGCTGATGTGGTCAAGATGGCTGAGGACCTGGCTGACCCTGGGCACATACACACTTGGAAGTCAGCATGTGACAGGTGTGGAGCAGGAAGTGTGATGGTAGAAAGGCTGAGGGGTCTCTGTCAGGCCACTCACTTGTGTGACTTCTTCCAGGCCATCTCCCGGGGCCCCGCGCCGCAGTCGTAGGCCTGGATGATGAACGTGTATTCCTTCTGCAGCTCGCAGTCGATGGGGCTTTTGGCACGGAGCCGGCCCTCTCCAGATGTCTTGTTGAGCACCACGGCCTCAAAGGGCAACTCTTGCCCATGTATCTTGAATGCACAGATCTCCCCTGCAAAAGGATGGACGGCGAGAGTGAGGACCTTGGGAACCACAAGACCCAAGACCAAGCTTCTGTGGGGCCAGATTTGCGGACTCCAAACCTTCAGGCCATTTCCTCCACAAAGAATATTGTGAAACCAGAAGAGGTCCCCAGAGATCTGGACCAATGTGCTCATTTCATGGACCGTGAAACGAAAGTATTTCATGCATGGAAATGTCACCCATCAAGTATATTGGGCAGAAAAGAGGAGCCCCACTGTGCAGGATTATCCTATTTTGTCAGTTTTCTAGCTGGTTCACCCTTTGCCCTGTTTGAGATTAAGGAATTCACCCACAGTCAAAAGACAATTGACTGCAGAAAAAAGGAGGAAAGGTTCAAAGTTCCACCACCTTTGTCCTGTGACAGCATCCTCAGCCCTTGCAGGTGTGGTTTGTGGACCAACACCAGGAGCATCCCCAAAGCAGATTCCCAGACTCACCCAGCAACCAGAATCTGCATTTTAATAGGTTTCCCAGGTGCTTTGCTTGCTTACTAAATCAGAGCCCCATAGTTCTCCTTCCTGCTCTCCTTGTTTAAAACCAAAATTGTTGCAGCCACATCCCCCACCCACTCCCTCCAGCGGGTCTCACCTCTAATTCCTCTCCCCGTTCCCCACCAGTACCTTCCCTGTGGGGCCAGGGACAGCACTCACATTTGCAATTTTCTCTTAAAACAGTGGGGGTGAGTCTGTGTGTGTCTCAGGGTTCCTGCAGAGTCTGAAAAACTAACTTCTTAAAGCGCTGAACATATTGTTCAGCTGGGTTTATGTGTATTATAGCTATTTCTTTGGATTAAAATGATAAGGGCATGAAAACGCCTTCTTTTTCTCAATGGATGGATATTTGTTTCTTGAACCCTAGCTGCAAGTAAGTAAGCCCTGTAGCATGCGCCTTGGGAAGTACTGAACATCTGAGCACGTTGTTTTCTTCCTGTACTGAGTAGCTTGCAGCCTTGCTGGGGAAGATGGTGTAAGTTTATGTAAAGCCCACCCACGGCGCAGAGGCTGTGTGAGTACCAGTGACATGGGCAGCAGAATTGAACCACAGGTTACTGGGGTATCAGACGCGGGCTTTGAGCCCAGAGGCATGACTTTAAGTCACTTATAGACCCTATAGTTACTTTCATTTGATGTAGTCAAAGTTTACTCATACTTGGGTCTTGATTGTGTTACCAGTGAAATGTCTCAGGAGATGGCTTTGCAGGGGACCACCTACCCTGATATACTCCACCCCTGGTCTAATGTTGAGTCAGCTGCCCTGTTGAGCCCAGGCCTTGGCGCCCAGGGGACACAGCTTAAGTGGACCCTCACTCTCATGACCAAGTGCCTGCCCAGCTATTTCCAGGAGCTGACTCCATGCGGGGAGGGGTTAAAGCTCTTGCTTGCTCTGTGCCACACACTGAATCTGTACCTCCAATTAGGGGATCACATTTAATCTTCACAGCAAACCTGCAAGGCAGGTGTTTCCTATGAAGTTGTACAAGATAAAAAGAACTAAAGACCAGAGAGGTTATTCCTTGCTCAAGGTCACAGAGCAAAGTTGAGTGTCAGGCCCAGGTAGAGCTGATTTCCATGATGACAGCCTCTCTACTCCCCCTCACCGTTTAAGGCCATCCCATAACTTCGAAGAGGACCACCCAAGAGAGGCTTCATTAACATTCTGTATTCCCACTCAAGTCTCACTCAGGAGAAATCCCCCATTTTACTTCTAGGAAGCATGCCCTGATCTCTTACTAACAATGTTTTCTGAGATGGTCAATCAATACCAATCTTACCTTTAGGCTTTCGGTTTTTATTATTTAATCGATCCTCAATTTCATTATGAACACTGCATTTTCACTACATCCCCTCCTGGCCATTTTTCAAATGTGGTTGTGGACTAATGGACAAGACAGACAGGTTGCAGACCGGGCTCTAACAAGAAGGCTGGTTTCCATTAAGCTGCTGGGATCAACCTGAGTCTCTGACAAGACCAGCCCCGCAGCTTTCATTCTCTCCTCAAGTTTAATCTGCTCTCAATTGGCTGGAGTTGAATGGATGAACTTCTAAAGTGCCTGCTTTGTGATTCCATCTCAAGATCAATGCCAATATGGGCATGTTAGCAGCAAATGTGCCCTGTATGGTTCTGGGACATTCTCTGGAGTGCCCAGCCACCATGATTGTAAGAACAATCAGAGCATTTCTCTTTGAAGAGTCAAGTTAAACCAAAAATAAATAAGGGTAATTTTCTGTTGGAAACATTTGATCACAACCACAGTAGTTCTCAAGACTCAGAAATTCCTTAACAAGAGGAAAGGAGAAGATAGGAGAAAAGGAGGGCGGAGAAAAAGGAAGGAGAGGCCCAAGGGAAAGCTAAGACCAAGAAAACCTCAGGACTTTCATTTACCTAAGTTTAAATCAAACAATTCAATGGAACCAGTGTTTTTTGTTTTTTGTTTTTTTTTTTTTGTGAGTCAAATGAGTGTCAGGTACTGTGCTGGATCTGGAGACACAAACAACTTGGGAGACCCCCAAACAGGAGGCCTGTTCTCACACACTCATTCCCCTGTAGAAGTGAGAGCAATGTGTTGCTTACTTGGTCTCTACCAGCTCAGATTGAGACAGGTTTCAGTTCCCTTTGAACTGAAATTCATGTCACTCTTATTTCTCCTGCCTCTTCATCTGATTCTTGTGTTTTGGTGCAAAAACATTCATGGATTTATTCATCCAGTCACTTACTATTAGTTAGGGCTGTGTGCTCAGCATTGGCAAAGCAATGTTGCATACAACCAGATCTATTCCTAGCCTAGTAGCTGCTTGTAGCCTGGCGTGGAAGACATAAGCCATCGAATAATCACAGAGCTACATGAAGGATGGGGGTCGCAAGACCTGCACTGAAGGACATCTCTCTGGTGCTGAGTTCTGGCCAGGGCTCACCTATGGATGTGATTGCTGAGCTGACATCAGAGGGAGAGGAGGAACACACCCAGGACAGGAAGGAACAGAGTGGGGCCCAGGAACCGGAGGGAACGGTGTGGCAGGAGCTTAATGGGGGTCTGACCTTAAAGTCTCTCAAGGTTCTGTGCTCAAGAGGGGCCTGGACTTGATGTAAATCTCTCGATCACCACCCTTGAAAACTTTAATCAAGTTATCTTCGAATTAGTGTTTTGTAAGCAAAGTCTGACTGGACGATGGAATATGTGGACATAGGAGACAGGTGCGAGAGGCATGGCTATTGTTCTGGCTGCCCTGGTCACTAGTAGCACCAGGAGCCCCATGAGGGCAGAATGCCGGTGCTCCCACGAGTGAGAGTTCCCAGGACTCAGAGCGAGAGCAAGGTAAGCATGTTAGTAAGTAAGGAGCTCGCAGCCTGGGAGTCAACACCTTTCATGGGAACCCAAACTGTTTTGAGTGTAGAAAGAAGGCAGGTGTCTTATAGGAAACATGAACAAAGCAAACAACTCTGTGGTATCCTTTCTCAATTCATGGGAACTCCCTGGAGTAGCCAAACTTTATTTACAGAATGATGACAGAGAAAAGGCAAAAAACAGGCAGTTCCTTCTCTCAGGGGCTACCCTACTCAGCGAGCTGAAGGTGGAGGGCACAGGTAGATGCTCACAAGGAGTGAAATGAAAGCAGCTGAGTTTCGTCTGCGTGGCAATTATACTGCTCTGTAAAGAACTGAATCCACATGCATGCTAGCACTATGGAATGCAAATTCTGTTATTATGGAAACTCTGCTCAGTGGTTAACCGCTCTTATATTTGCATTTACAACTGGCATAGCACAGTATAAAGATAAATGGTAAAATTCATGCTAATTTAAAATTTTAACTTGTCTTTACCTAAGAGGACATTAAATAGCAAATTAAAAACTCTACAAGTGCACAGCTGTGGAGGGAAGGTCCCAGGCTGCAGTCCTAAGGAGGAAGGATATTTAAAATCGAGTTCCCAGCATCAGTGGATGAACATTGGGTTGTCTTGAGCATTTGTGATGCCTGTCATTAGAATTTATTATTACTAATAAAGTATATCGCCAGGAGGATGATGTGCCTTGTAGTAAAAGATCAGACTCAAGGGTTTCCATTAAAAATATTGCTTTTCTAGCCTTGCTTTCCAATCTGCCACGCTGGGTGAGGGAGCTTCTGTGCTAGGAACTAAGTGTGGAAGAGCAAAAGACCAGCACACACTGAGGACCAGATCCTGGAAAACCAGGCCAGTAGCACCAGACTTCCAGTCTCGGGGTCCTTGTGCTGGCTATAGCTGAGAGTATGAACTTGGCTTTGCCCAGAGCTCTCCAGAGAGGCCAGACCAGACCTGGGGGTCTGGTGGCTGCAGCCCTTAAGTTACTTCACAGTTACTTTCTCTTCCTCAGCAGTACACCTCCCCACAACACCAGCAGGATTGGTATAGTTGTCTCTTAATCCTCTTTAAGATTCTAGGGGAAGTGAATGAAACTAATGAATGAAAGAAGATTTTTAGGGTATATTTTGTTTCTACTCCTGAACATCCTTAACAACTGGTTGTGTCAGTTCTGTATTTCAGATGAGGAAATTGAGTCTCAAAGAGGTTAACTGGTTCACTCAAGTTCACTTTGATGGTAAGAACAGATCATGGACTGAAATCTAGACCCTTTGAACATTCATCCGGCACTCAATTAGTTCTTCATGTTGCTTTTCGCTGGATGAATCTCTCATTTTAGGACAGTGATTCTCCACACACATGCTGTGAATCCCCGGGTCCCCAACACCCTTTCTGTGGGTATTACTGTATTAACAGGAAACTATTATTTGACTGTTACACTGTTGATATTTTCACTGATGGATTATTTATAAAAACAGGTAAGTTGGAGCACTGGCGCCATAGGAGCAGATAACTACATACTTTGCTACATATTTCAGAGTGAAAAAACAAATAAGTAAGGCCGATTTCAGTTAATGGCTTTAAGGATGCAATGCATATGATTAATTTGAGTAGCTCTCAATCCTTGAGTA